GGGCGGGTGCGGGGCGGCGATGGGGTGGGACTGCTAAAGAGAGCTCCTTGCGATGCACGGAGGGTGCGGGCTCGGCGCCTTGGAATATCAAAAGCGCTGTGATCTCTTTGGAGGCAGCTCCGCCCAGCGGAGTGGGCGAACGCGGGGCTCAATGGAAAGTTCTTCCGTGCGGCAACGGAGTGCCCCCCCCCCACTGGGCCGTACTATATACGGATTTTGTGGGAAGTCCGCTGAGATCCCGAAATCAATCCCAAGTGCTACCATTGTATGTAGTGATCGTTTTTATTTCACATTCAAAATACAAAAACAATTCTCTTAAGTTGCTTCTTCTTCATCCTTTGCAAATGCAATTTTTTCAAGAACAATTTTGTGAACTAAACTGAATTCTCGCGATGACTGAAAGGACTTAGTTTTCTCTATATGATTTACTCCGCAATACATTTAAATGTACAGTAAAGTAAGAGAAGATGTATAACATTTCTATGTATTTTAGAGCTCTCTCCTTTCCCCCTTTCTCAGACTACACTCTCTCTCTCTCTCTCTCTCTCTCTCTCTCTCTCACACACACACACACACACACCCTGTGATAGTTGCTATTAACGTCATCAAATATACAGACGTGTTTACGTGGAGTTCAATTATACAGGATCAGGCAACACTTCCAATTTCGGAATAGATTTATTTTACCAATCGAAAACCTTAAGAACAAACAGTATTGTATTCGTATATCGAAATAAACAAAAATTATTCACTGTTATCTCGGTACTTTAACAACGTGGCTTATTATCGAAAAAGAGCATGAAGAACAAAACCAAATTGGATTCTTATGCCAGAAATTTGGAGTACAGACTGCAGTGAATCCAGCTTCGATTAAAAAGTTATTGTTCTAAATTTATCGTATCGTTTCTTCCGGCAGTTTTGATAATATGGTTTAATTCATGTTTTTAGCTTACTAAATTTTTGTTTCCGTTTATTTGCAAAATATTGTCTTTATGCAACAAACCAAATAAAACCCATCTATTGGGTCAATTTATTTTCCACATCGAACGTAACGAAACTGAGGCCAATTTCGTATAAAGAATGATTAGAACACAGATTTAGGAAACACTAGATTTTAAGTTACAACATAAATAAGCCAATTCAAGTATTATGTACAAAATAAATTATAAGCCACTATTATAAATATAAGTCTATATATCGAAATTATCAGGACTAGTATTCAAATTTTAACAAAAATTACATTATTAATGGTTTTTTACAAAGTAAATAAAACGTACTTATTCGTATCGTAACATCTTTTCACATCACTCTATTCTCGCGCAGTAATACGATGTCTTGCGATGCATTTTCCTGAACTAAGTAGACAGAAAGGACTCACCGTGAATCGCCGGCACCACACGGATAGCCACTTGATGTCCCGCAGCCGCTTGCCCAGGGGGAGTCGCAGGATCACGTCCTGCTCCTTGAATGCCTTCAGGACGGGCGGGTCTCTGCAACACCACACGACACGACACGTTATCGCTCTCGCTCGATTCGTCGTTTAATTCATGAATTGCTTAGTGTTTCCAGCCTCTGTGATAATTAGTCTGGCAAGAGTAGTGCAAGTCTTCTTATTAAGGAAGAGGTTGTGGTTTCTACGATCAACACCAGGCGGATACCGGAGCAGAATCCCAACAAACGCGCCAGGGACCGTGCGTGTTCCTCGCCTTATCCTCACTCTCTACTTACACACACGTACACTTACATGCCCTATACGCTACCACACAAGCCGGGGAACCAGTCAGCAGCATCGAGCTTACCCCGACAAGGGTGGAGCCCCACATAATTAGACTGGAAAATCCCGATGTGTAGGTCGACGATGGATCTCGCCTTTTAATTGAGAAAGAAGAGAGCCACCCAAAACATATACACTACGTGGTCAAAAGAATCCCGACTCGTGACGGAAAATGACTTACCAGTTCGTGGCCCTCTCCTTTGGTAATGATGGAATTCAATAGGGTATTGGCCCACCCGTAGCGTTGTTGAGAGCTTCCACTCCCGCAGGCATACTTTCAATCAGATGCTAGAAGGTTTCTTGGGGAATGGCTGCCCATTCTTTACGGAGTGCTGTATTGAGGAGAGGTATCGATGCAGGTCGGTGAGGCCTGGCGCAAAGTCGGCGGTCCAAAACATCCCAAAGGTATTCGATAGGATTCAAGTCAAGAGTGTGCATCCATTACAGAGATGTTATTGTCGTGAAACCTCTCCGCCACAGGCCGTGCAGTATGAGCTGGTGCTCGATCACGTTGAAAGATGCAATCACCATCCCCGAATCGCTCTTCAACAGTGGGAAGCAGAAAGGTGTTTAAAACCTCAACGTAGGCCTGTGCCGTGATATGGTCACACAAAACAACAAGGGGTGCAAGCCTCCTCCATGAAAAACACGACCACACTAAAACAGCATTTTGGATGTTTTCGGATACTTTTGATCACATAGTGTACAGTTCTCTGACGAAAGTAGATTACTAGCCCCGAAACATAAAATACTGCGTCACCCAGAAGGTTTCATTGAAGATTTTTTTCTTCTTCAAGATCTACATATATTTCTTTGTTCATTGCCCGCGTCGGGGGCGTCGCACGCGACCGCAGGAGCGCAGCGGCGGCCGGGCCGCATTCACTGCCATCGAGCCGTCCCGGGCCCCGGCGCGGAAGCCCCGGCGCTGGCGCGAAGCAGACACGCGAGGAATGCGCGTCTGCGGCGGTCCCACAATGGCTCTCGGCGCCGTGCGACGCGACGCGACACGACGCGACCAGACCCGACCCGACCCGACCCGACGCGGAGCGCGAGGTGATTTCCGCGGCCGAGGAATGCCCGCAGCAGCCCCTAGTCGCTTCCGGCCCCGCTTCCGGAAATATGCCGCTTGTTCCTTTTACTGCGAGCGGCCCAACTGAATTACGATATTCCCTTTTCAATATTTAATTAGAAATGCTTCTTTAACGGGAAAATGTTTTCTTCGTAGCTTTTTTTCTATTTTATTGGTGGTAATAATTTTATCTCTTGACTTATTTATGTTCCAAAGTCGAAAAATAAGTAATAACTTTGTGGAAAGGGTTTTTTTCAATTGCATTTCGTAATGATTTTCTTTCTGTTCCACTCGCTACGTTAGTTTTATCTATGCAACTTACAAAAACTCGATCTAGAAAGTTGGTATGTTTGTGACAAATAATAGACACAAAATAAAGGATTCGTATACGTTTGAATGGGAAGAAATTCTTGGAGTTTTGAAACAATTTGGTCAGGAACATAAGTTCTAGCATTTTGAATGTTATTAAACTGCAAACTGGAATAGTATATATGCTCGAATTTCTATTACGTTTACCGTAACTGTTCAGAATGCAACATTTGTGTTTTTCGGATTAAATGAAGTTTCGGCGTGAAAAGTTGATTTAGAACATATTACATTAGTTTTGCCGATCTTCACAGGACTAGACTTAAAATTGTATCGACTTAGCCCAAACTAGTTTTCTGTTAAGTACGATTAACAGTCCATTAAGTTCAACTTTAAAGGTGAGGGAACTCAAAATGTTATTTTATTAACTGTTCGAACTCATTACACTTGGATTTGCGTCGATTGAATGACAGAAGAATGAGACAGGGAGATCTCATTCAACAACAATTTCGGTAAGCTGAAAAAGTGCATCAGCAGAAAAGCAAATTTATATATCAAATTCGACACTACGATAGTTGCACAGTTTAGAAATACAGACCTTCATGACCATTCAGGATAGATATCCGGCGTCACTATTTTTGATTTGGGCGTCATATGGCATTTCAAATAAGTAATAGAAACAATGATATGAGACAAATGAAAAAATAATATTTCATGTTTATTGATTATTGACAAATAGAAAATATGTTTTTTTAACGAGAGGTATGTAAGAAACGTATATGTACATTAAGTTTCCAAATCTCCTACTGAAAGAAAATTTAATTTTGAAATGAGCATTTGTCGTTTTACGAATTAAAGAAAAATGTATTGAATTCATATTATACATTAAAATTTTAATATACCCCAGATATTTCTATTCAATAAAGATTTGTACTTTATGCTTTAAATCTTTATGTCGTGCAAGAAACATTCAGCATCTCTATAAAATTATATTTATATCGCCCATTTACGCGTTCGTGTAATGTGATATCTTACAATAAACCTAGTTTAGTCATCCTAATCACTCGCGTACCCAAACATTATAAATCTCTGCATCCGACGATCTCTTTCGCGCTGTTGGTGATGGTTTTACGCAAAAGCATTCACTGGCTAGCGAAGGGTGGCTCAAATCGAAGAAGTGAAGACACATTGCCCGCGGTTGTTCTCTCACTGGATGGTGAGATTCGGCGCCGTTCTACATTTCCCCATCCAGGTATCTCTCCCCAGCAAAGCACCATCCCTGTCGTGACAAGCTCTAGCTCCCAACTGTTCTCCCAACATGTGTGGTGGTGTAGTACATGTAGGTATAAGAGTGTGCAAGGAAGGGTTGAGGATACAAGGGATAGGAAGAAAGGTCGCGAGCGGTACGTGGCCTGCTTGTTAGGTTACTGCTTCAGCATTGCCTTGTGTTGAACGGGGAAACCACAAGAAACTGCCGATCACAGCAGCCGGCAGCTGGAATTCTCCTCCACACAACATCTGTAGACCTACCTATCTAGTTATATTAATAATGATAATAATAATAACAATAATAATAATGCCTTTATTAATGGCGAGGTTCAGGCCATAGGGCCTGCTCGTCCGCCTAACCACTAGTCAGTGTCGAATCTCCTCCACCTCCATGTCAGAGGCACCGCAGTGACATCAGTCGATGCCCTGAGCCACCTCAGCCGGCAACCTTTCGTTTGGGGTGGCGCGTGAACGCTAGGAGCGATCCGTATTTAAAACCTAATGGATCTTCGCGTCAGCGCACAGCGGCGCCTCGTCCACAAGACAAACGGGCTGTTGGCTGCCTGCTCCCCTCGCGGAGGCCACCACCCTCGCCCGGCGAGCGGGGC